GCCTACGTGTGCGCGTGCGCGCTGCCTCCCACCGGGCGGCCACCTGGGGGGGCACCCAGCGATTGTGTGTGAGCGTCGCTGCGGGGCACCGAGCCCTCCGGGGACACCTCACCCTCTGACCTGGCTGTGCCCTGCTGGCCTCTCCCACCAACCGAGCTTGGAGTTAAGCCGCCTGCAGCTTGGCTCCTGGCTCCGCTGGGCCCGCAAGCCCCCCTCCCGCGCTCAGCGGGTAAGACGGCGGGGGACGTCCTCTCTGTGAGGACCGCCTGCCCACGCGCCTGCTGGACGCCGTGTCTCCGATCCTTCCCTTGTCTCGGCCGTACCTGCATAGCAGGGGACTACGCCGGGAGCGTCCAGCGTACCCTCCACGCGACTGTGGCCGCTGCAGGTGGCTTCAGTCACGCGGGAAGGGCTGGGGGCCCGGGCAGCCACCTGTGCCCACAAGGTCCGTCCCATAGGCAGTGGGGTCTCTCTCTGCGGTGGCTCAGGGCCCACAAGGGTGGGAGTGGAAGCAGAACGGCCTCCTGGAGGCGCTGTCCTTATGGCCTCACCCAGACTTGAGGTTCAGTCAAGAGGCTCCCCCTTTTGGAGAAAGATTCGGCAGAGTGTCTTCTTCAACCTGTCGCGGTGCCAGCGTGTCCGAGGCTGCCCAGGTTGCTCTGTGGATCCCTCTGAGCCTGGGCTCATGGAGGGGCAGAGTCTGCCCCTGCCAAATCGCCTGTCTCTCTGGGCAGGGCCGCCTCCCTGGCCTGGCACCACTGCCAGATTCTGTTTTGCACACTGGTGTTTGCAATCAAAAAGTTCAGCGGTCCTTCCAGTGCGTTTAAATTAGTCCCCATGAAAAGCAAATCATTTCATTTGCAGAGAAGGGCTTAATTGCAAGGGGAACAAGGCAAAGGAAATTCTGTTGCCTGTTTTCATTGAAGAAAATGACTGTACTTTCCCCTGTCTCCTTTGGAAATAGAAGCGGCTTTGGAGTGGGGCTGTAATCACAGTGGTACCTCCTCTTCCCGCGCTCCGCTCCGTGCAGCCTGGGCTCTGTGCTGTCCCCAGCTGAGACCCTGTCGGGCCATTTCTGTGCATCCATCCAGCCGGGTGCTCGGCCCTGCTCTGGATTTCATGGGGGCCCTCAGCCGTGAACACTGTCTGTGGGGAGAATCGTCCCACCCCTCTTCCTGGAATCCAGTAAGCCTCTTCGCGCCTCCCTCACCAGGGCTGGTGAGACTGCACATCACGGGGGCCTCGGAGGGTGCCCCAGCCCTTCTGTAGGACGAAGCACTGGGGTTGTGGACCCCACACACCTGGCCGGTGTCTCAGAGCTGTAGCAACGTGGAGCTGTTTCCTGGGGACCCTGAACTGGGCCCTGCAGGAGGAGCTGCAGGGCGGCACCTGCTGCCAGCTGGTGGGTGTGATGGGGCCCTGAGCGGACAGAGGGGGCTGAGTCACCCAGGTCGCTCAGATTAAAAAGGGAGAAAAAACAAAAGCAGTGTAAACAGAAACCGGAGGACTGCAGACCTCAGACAGCGCCTGGCGTTCGTTCACTGAGTATTTACTGAATGCCTGCTGTATGTCAGGTACTGAGGCTGGGCACCGGGCAGAAAAAGCATCAGACAGATGCGTGCCCCGGAGGAGCTGACACTGGGTGAGCGGAGCTGGGGACACAAGGAGTGAGACATGCTGGAGCCAGGGGCTGGGAGGGCCGAGCCAGAGGATCCACGGTGGGAGCATAGGTGCAACCTCAGGGGAGGTGACGACGGAGCAACCTGAGGAGAGGGTGCGAGCCCCACGGAGGTCTGGGGCGCACAGAGCAGGTGACAGCACATGCAAAAGTCACAGTGTCATCACCTGCTGCTGAATCTGACCACTGCTGTCTTGACACTGCTCCAGGGAGAGAGTGACTTGGCCAGTCCCAGAGGAGATGGGCCCTGTGCCCACCCCGGTACAGTGTGGGGACATGGAGGTACTGCCGTCTGCCTCTTGTGGTCCCTGGCACTGTGGGACCCACCCTCCTGATTCCTCATCACCAGGCTTTCCCTAGAGACGTAGCAGTGCCGGCTGCCTGGGGAGCACTGCTCTGGAACAGTGGGTGACGGAACTGCTCCCCTGCGTCCTCTCTTTGGGGTTGGTACCGGAACGGGGGATCACAGTCCACACGTGTGCTTGAGCAAAGGGAGTTCTTGAGGCTCAAAGTCAAAGGTGCCTTCATTAAGGGGGAACAGCTGCTATGGCGGCTCTGGTGCTAGGTGAGTGACAAGTGGTCGTGTTTACCTTCTTCCTTCCCTCCTCAGGGAGGGGCCTGCAGCTCCTGGGCGGATGTGCACAGCTGAGATCTGTGGGCTAGGCCTCTCCCACCCTCACCCTACAGGGCTGCTTTGGTGCCTGCTATGGCCCCCAAGTGGTTTGTTGGGAGGAAAACAGATCTGCAGCCTGGGGAGTACTGGTATAGGCTTTGGACAGAGCCACAAGACTTCCCAGTAGTGGCTCCTGCCCCAGTTGCCCTCTGTGCCCACCTCGGGTAGAACCTACCAGCCAGCACTGTCCCTGGAGAGCCACTTAGAAGCCAGGCATGGCCCCAGAGTGGGCGGAGGTATCCACAGCTCCCAGCAAAGCTGGGCCGCCTGGCTACTGTGCCCAGGAGTGACTGGCTGTGGGCCACTTGTCCCTGTTTTGCTCTGGCTCCATGAAGCCCTGACTGGTGGCCCCCTATACCATGCAGAGCAGGTGAGGGAAGTTCTCAGCTGAGAGACCAGGAGGGAGGCAGAACCCCTTCCCGTGTAGGTGCTGGGCCCTTTGTCCGCTCACCCTGCAGCCTCCAGCACATGCGGGTGGGGCAGTGGGTGCACACACACCAGAGGGCACCCACAGGTCAGCTGGGTGTTCACGGGAAGGGGGCTGTGACCACCCAGGGCCCAGGAGGCAGAGCCTAGAGGCCACCTCTCCCCTGGGGGCCCGGCCCTGCCAAAGGAAACCTTTTCTGCACCCCGGCACCAAACTCAGATGCCCACAACTTCCCCGTGCCCAGCAGATGGGTCATGTGTGGCCTCAATGCTGGGCCCTGAGGGAGGAAGGCACCTCTTTAGGCGATGTGTAGGCAGTGGCGGGGCAGCCCATCCCGTCACATCCTGGAGAGGCTGAGAGACTGGAGGAGGCAGGAGAGCAGCACTGACCCCACCTCCAGAACAAGTCTGCCTTCCGAGGCTCAGAGCGATGGAGCCGGCTGAGGTACCCTCACTCCTCACGTCGCTTTGGGGAGAAGGGAGAGCACCATAGATTTTTAATAAATAGTTTATTTACCCGCAGTTTCAACCCTGACATGAGGCCTGTCGTGGTGCTCCATCCTGGCTAGGCCTATGAGAACGAGGCTAGCACCCAGATCCAGCCCCACTGATGATCCAGAGGAAATGACAGTATTGCTCAAAGGAGGGGGACTGGAGCTTTATTAAGGAGACACAAACTCCAGCAAGCCCAGAAAGGAGTCCTGGAGGCCGCCTTGGGCGGGTCCAGCTCCGGCCCACAACAGCTAGACCTAGAGCGCCGGC